ATATATATATATATATATATATATATATATATATATATATATATATATATAGGTTCATTTGAGACCATATTAATTTTGTGAGACATGGGGATGCAATCCTAGCCATTCATCTTGGTATTCAAAAAATTAAAAAAATAAAATAAATCTAAAATGCAAAACAAAAGGAAAAATTTGAATTTTTTTAATTATTGTTTACCTAAAAAATTAAAAAATTATTGTTGCCTTTTGAAATATACGTGGAATATTCCAATAGAATATTACACTATAAATATTAAAATATTATTTTCTGAATGTTAGAAAATTCTAGTATTCTACTAGAGTTGTTAGATAGGTTAAAATATTATAATATTCTATTAAAATTGTAATAATTGGTAGTATATTCTAATATTCTTTTAGAATTTTTTGAATATTTGTATTCTAATATTCTAATAGAATATGTGAATATTCTAACAATTTTCTTCTAATTTTTATAATAGAATATTTTACATATATTTTACAAAAAATGTTAATCTATTTTATTTTATTTTTTTGGAAAATATATATGACGAAAGTAATATTTTTGAAAAAACTCAATTTTTTATTATTATTTTGCATTTAAAATATATCTATTTATTTCAAAAATGAGTGGTTAGGATTGTATCAATATATCTTAGAAAATATAATAGTCTTAAATGAACATAACATTTATATATATATATATATTATATATATATATATATATATATATATATAATCTCAAAATAATATATGTTGTAATTATGTTGGTCTTAAATGAACACCTACTTATTAATATTTTTTAAAAATGTCACGGATCGAACTCTTTAAATACTTTTTACTTTTAAATTTAGGTTGAACATTTATTCATATTCAATATTATCTCTTTTTAAAACTAATGACGGCCTCGCCATTGGTTTAGCGATATTAATAGTGGATTTAACCGATTAGAGGTATTATTTTAGAAATTTTCAATAATCTCTTTAAATTTAATTAATATATTTTTTAAAAGGGACAATTTTTTGTTTTATTTATGAATTCAAAATCTATTTGCCTCGACCTTGATCCTACATCATATTGGGCCCTAAGTTACTTGGTCAATTCGAAGTCAGAGCCCATGGATGCTTCTGATCATCAAAGCAAGATGTATGCTTCCTTGCTTCGATACGGTGCAAAGTCTTCAACCACGCTTCTTAACTTCGCCTGAAGCTTCATTTCATGGCTACACTTTTGTCATCGTCTGCATACACCACTAGAAACTGAGGTATCAAGGACGAACACTTCCATCACTAATCTTCCGCTAAAGGCTATTAGTGACAGATTAGTAAAAAATTGTCAGTCGAAAAACCCTTGTTGCTAATTGTCAGCGACATATTCTGCGAGGCATTAGCGACGGATTAACGCTATCACAAATTACTCAAGGAACCTCTAGATTCTGTTGTTGATGTATGTCGCTAATTTGTCACTGATTATTAGTAAATGAACAATTTTTCTTTTTTAACAACGGTTTAGTAGTTTTCGAATCTTTCGCTATTCCATTATAAGAACTCTCAAATGTAATTCAAAATTTATACCCCAAAATAGAAATATTAATAACATTTGACTACCATAGTAAATATTAATATTTATTTAGAAAAAGAAAAAATCATGTTTGATTTCAAAGTATTGAAACCAAATTAAAAAAATCAAAAGTGTCAAAGCCTAATTAGATGGGTAAGTTATTTCCATGGGTGAGCTTTAGGGTTTCGTTATACATCTTGGCGATTTCTTGTTTGTTGGCCATAATTTCTTCATTTCCCGCCTTAAGCTCTTCATTCATCTCCTCAAGAATATGATCAATAATAACCTACAAAGCAATAATAACCAATTTTAAAAGAAAAAAACTATAAATGATTACTACCCATGTACTTTCCACTTGAAAAGAAAAAAACATATTAAACAGGCGAAAATAGAAGTGTACTTTACTATTGATAACTACATACACAACACACACATGCAATTAAATAGAATTTTAGGTATCAAAATTAACTAATAATAACTACATACATTTTTAGGCCTTAAAATTAACAATATGCTATAAGATATTACCACACAACAGTATATATATATATATATATATATATATATATATATATATATATATATATATATATATATATATATATATATTATATTATATATATATATATATATATATATATATATATATATATATATATATATATATACTGAGAATTCAAATGCCTAAGACGAGCTGCAAAAAAAATGCCCTTAAGCCCTAACATGTAACAAATTAAATTATATAAATTGTAGTTTTTTAAAAATGAAGATAAGTTTCATAATCTATTTTTCTCATGTGAAAGTGTGAATCATATGCTATTTAGAGAAGCAAACTTATTTTCAAATCACAAAGGATATTTTGTCAAATACTTTGTGAACAACAAGAAGATACAACTTCTACTCAGAGTGAAAGGGCATAAGTTTCAGAAATATGTTTTTCTCATGTGTGTCATTTTGTATCTAGACCAAGTTTTAAATTTACTTTACCTCAAGTTCATCAACATCAACCTTAAGGATGGTTAGATGGGCATATTCTTAGAAAGCTCAATTAAGATTGGTTCTATCACAGAACAAGGACCACACCATGAGTCAGTAAAGATAAAAGCATTTCACTAATAACTGATTCAATCACCAATTTGTAAAGTCTAATCCATTGATTTTACGAGTACAACCAAGTTACCAATTTTCATCAAGTGTGGCTACTGAACAAACTCAAAAGGATAAACCCAATACTACTGAAATCAAAGTCAATTAAAAAAAACTCAGATACATGCATATAACATGATAAATTTTCATGCAAAAAGGATATCAAAGGGAAATCAATGAACTAACCTACATTTAGTTTTTCCTTAGCATGTTTATGTTTTTTTTGTGCATAATCTCATATATTATACACATTATAATAAACCTTGCATTTCATAATGATCTATATATAGTAGTAGCAGGTGATTACGATCATGGCCTTATATGCAGTTGTTTGTAAAAAAGTGAGAACCAATGATGCTCATATGATTTTAGTACACATAAATCTAGCATTATTGTAGTCACTAAATCCCAAATCGGATATTTATTTCTACTTGAAGAAGAAAAATTGTATCATATCAATTTGTCGAACAAACTAACCAAATTTCTAATAAATGAATATTTGTCTCTCTTTTCATAAAATCGGTTGATTGTTATCAATGTATCATGTCAATGATATGCTAAGTATAAAAAATTAAGCTTGTAATAGAATTTGTGTCTGCATATTTTTCTTGTTATTTGAATACTCCTATGCATTGGACACCATCTGCTACGAGCCACGTTCTTAACAAAAGCATTTTTTTATGAAGTGTTATTTAGCACTACTGAATCAAAGTCAATAAAAAACTCAAAATCAATTGCATAATCCTTATTAGAAAACTAAAAATAAAAATAATTTCTAAGAAGCAGAAGAGAAGTGAGTAGGGCTTACAAATTTCTTAGAATTGATGTTCAAACTTGGTTTAATTTGAAGAAATCAGGAGTTTGATAAGCTTTTGTTGATGAATCGAATCGTGTTGAACATTGATGTGTAATTAGGTCAGAGGGGTAATCCCATTGGTGGGTTTGAAACTAGTTTTTTTTTTCCTGGGAGTTGTGACTGTTGGTTTGGATTCAGACGTGGTTAATAGTATAATGATGGTAATTGGGGACTAGTGATTGTGGTCAGTTGGAAACATGAGATCTTGCTGAAGGAGGCCGAAGGAGGAATAAGGATTGAAGCACTTAAGTAATTAAAAAAAATGGGTCCTCTAAAATCTTTGGGCCCTGTTCCACTATCCAGGTTCTCCTTGCCCTACACCGACCAATATATATATATATATATATATATATATATATATATATATATATATATATATATATATATATATATATATATATATATATATATATATATATATATATATGAGACGATTCATTTGAGATTCAAAAAAAAATTAGAGATCTTCAGATTCAACCTCAGTCATATATTTTTCTTCATTTACCGCTCTAACGCTCCAAAGTACTAGCAGCAGCGGGGTAAGCCTAATCATAAATGATTTTACTCAAAAAAAAATTTGAGTAATCATATATGATTATAGTAGTTGGTAGCAGAAGAGATAGTGATGGCAGAGGTGGTGGTGGTATAAATGGCAGAGGTTGCAGTGTTGGGGTCGACTGGTGGCAGAGATGGTGACGGTTGCAATTAAGGTGGTGGGGATAATGGTGGAGGAGAAAGGAACGGACGACACTATATAATCATTTATGATTATAACTTACTTGTCGAACCGGTACGTTGGAAGGTTAGAGCGACAGATGATTATAACTTACTTGTCGAGCCGGTACGTTGGAAGGTTAGAGCGACAGATGTAAAATATGTGGCTAAGATGTAAATATATATATATATATATATATATATATATATATATATATATATATATATATATATATATATATATATATATATATATATAATTACTGTAATTCTTTTTCAACTAATAAAACCGTAATTATTTTGCATGTAATAAAGTTCAACAAACTATAATTTCAACAAAAACTTAATAATAATACGATTTCAACAATATTATAGCTTTTCAGTTGACATTTTCTTCCTACGTTTTATATCATCCATATAATACCATTGATCATATTATATGCTTCTTCCCCGTAAATTGTGATATATGAGCAACGTGTCCGTTTACATTCAAAATCTAGTTAAATTATCAACATTTCGGAACGAAAACCGATTTGGCATCACCCTCATTGTGAATCTTAACTCCTTTATCGTTTCAATATCTCACCTTCATCCTCTGCTTCATCCAAATCCTACATTTCCATGCCACCATAAAATCGTGTAAAATTTATTTTCAACCTATTACATTGAATGGCCAGGTTGAAAAAAATCTGATACAGTCTACTCTCGTTAATTTTGAATCTTCGTTGACATGAACATATTCCGAGATGATTTAATCATCCGTTTAAAGTATGGTAAAGACAGATATCTGATTGCCGAGCAAGACGAAGAATCTGTGTCAAAATGTCGAGATGGTTCTACAAAGAATGCACAATGGACCATCGAGATGAACGATGAAGAATCTTTATTCTTAAAAAGTTGTTATGGAAAATACCTAACAGCATCAAACCAACCTTCTATTCCGGGAATGATTGCTAAACATCTTAAAGTCACCCAAACTTCGCCGGAAAAGAAGAATACTTCCCACCAATGGCTACCGGTGATTCAATCTGACCCTGTAAAACAATATTCAATCTGGTTAAAGACACCTCATGGAAGCTATTTGGAGGCACATACTGGACGGAATTTAATTACACATGATCTTCTAGGAAGGAAGGGTTGTAATCCTCTCAACAAAAAGATTTTGTGGCATATTGAGATTGTGGAGTCACCTTCAGATCATTGGAGACATTCTGGCTCCTTAATGTCCAGAATGTTATTTGGTATGAGATCATTCGTCTCTGAAAAACATAAAGATAAAGAGAAGAACGAGTGTTTGAAGGATGAGAAAGAAACTACAAAGGAAAGAATGCATACAAACATATTATCACATAAGTTATTTAATTCAAAAAGTTGTTGAACGATATATATATATATATATATATATATATATATATATATATATATATATATATATATATATATATAGCACATCGATCACATAACCATGAAGATGATTTCCAATGATGATATGTACATATAAGACCCATTATGTGGTCTATATGGGACTTGTAATTAAGTGTATAGTTAATTTTCTGTTATTAATGCATCGTATTTTTCATTGAAATTATAGTATATATATATATATATATATATATATATATATATATATATATATATATATATATATATATATATATATATATATATATATATATATATATATGGGTAAAGTGAATATACCTAACAACCTTATATAAGCTTAGGTACCTAACCTCATCAAACTATATCATTTTACATTAAATTTTCATTGCAATCATGCAAGGTTCTTAAACTTTATCCCTAAACTTGATTTACTTCAAAAAAAATTGGAAATTCATCATTATATTTCTCCTACATCATTTTATTTGTAGCGGTAGGATATGAAGCCTATCAGACGGTATTCAATAAAAGGACGTAATGTAAAAGAAAGATAATGGTGAAAGTCCAAAGATTTTGGAAGTAATAAAGTTAAGGGGTTGAAGTTTAAGAACCTTAGACAATTACAATATAAATATGATACAAACTGATGTAGTATTATGGAGTTAGGTACCTAAGCTTATATAAGTTTGTTAGGTATATTCACTTTTCCCTATATATATATATATATATATATATATATATATATATATATATATATATATATATATATATATATATATATATATATATATGTGTGTGTGTATGTGTGTGTGTGTGTGTTCGTCAGAGATTATGGGCGAAGTTCCTTAAGGCTACCTTAAGTAAAATTTTAAAAACCTACCTTGAAATGTAGGACCTAGGTTCTACATTTATATAGAGTTTACATAGTAAATTTTTAAGAACTTACCTTAAAAAAAGTTTAGAACCTATCTTAGAGCATTTGGGATGAATCGTAACAGAAACAAACATGATCTAGATTTTGTTATAAAGTCAAATGAGATGTTAGATATGGTATGAATCAAGAGCTCATTAAAAAGAAAAACAAAAACACAAAAAAAAAACAAATAATCAAAAACATAGAAAGACATAAGAGAAATGTGTGATGGTGTTAGTGATTAAGAGGCCGAACCATAGCTACAAGGGAAATGAAACAATACCTTTATGAATTTGACATGCATGATATTATCTTGATTCTTGTTATGCTTGCACAATGGGTAATACGTGTTGTTAACCAAACAAATTTAAATTAGAGTTATTATTTTTGATTTTATGTGTTTTAATATTATAATATTATTTTGTTTAATTTGGTTTTTCGTAACAATGTAATATATATGGTTTTGATAACAATAAACCAGGGGCGGATGCAGGATTTCATAGTAGGAGTTGCACGGGAAGATTAGAGGTTGCACGATAGTAGAAAAAATAAAAATTTTAAAAAATTTCAATTTTTTTTCCACTGTGGCCGGAAAATTTAGGGGTTGCCGGTGCCACCCTGCAACCCCCTAAATCCGCCCCTGAATAAAACTTGCTAGTTTGCTATAGGTTTTGTTTGTAGTCATTTTTATTAGTTAGTTATGAAGATGCTTACAATTCATATATTTTTTAAAGGGTAATATAGTATATATTAACATCTTGTTATGTCGTGTTCAAGTCTTCTTCCATCCGGTCATATTGCATTCAGTTCTATCATATGTATAATTGTAAGAAATTTTTATGTATAACTATCAGATATATGTTAAAATATTTAAAGGTATACATCCCGACTTGTCACGAAGTATTATTAATCCTTATATTTTATCGTGTTCATGTAATTTTATGTTCTAGATTCGCCACTGCATGTAGATATGCATATGTTGCATGTAGGTATGCATATGTGTGCATGTTGGTTTTGATCGGTAGTGTATTTACGATCAAAGGTGAACCCAAAAAAAATGATGAGGTGTTACACAAACTTTTTTCCTGCATAACCTGTGATGTATCCAAGATTTCAATATGTTATATGTTGGGGGTATAAAAGTATCAAATAACCTTTTCGAGTAGGGTTAAAACGGTTTTAAGCAATATTTTCAAGATCAAATTCTTTTCTTTTAGTAAACTCTATATTACTTAAAACTAGGGGTGTAAGTCAGACAAACCAACTCGCGAGAAACTTGAGACCGACTCGGAAAATACTCGAAATCAAGTCGACCTTAATCGAGCCGAGCTCGAGTACAAAAATACTCAGCTCGTAAGGCTCGCGAGCTTAGTCGAGCTTAGTGTAATTTACATATGTGTCATTTCTTTATAATTGTTCATTTATAAGATATATGTCATTTTTTTATAATTATTCATTTATGACATATATGGTTGATGTTATATTGATATTCGGTTAGTAATAGTGGTTTTTTTTTTTTTTTTAGTTTGGACATTTACATGTGGAATGTTTAATATTTCTTACTCAATTTAGTGATTTTGATTTTTTTTTTAAATATTAGTCGTGCCGAGCTCGAGAATGTCGAGTATTTCACGAACCCGAGCTCGAACTTAAAATCAAGGCTCGAGTCGAGCTCGAGCCGAGCTTCGAGCTCGAGTCGAGCTCGAGCCGAGCTTCGAGCTCGAGTATTTTAGTCGAGCCGAGCTTCGAGCTTGGTAGTATTCGGCTCGACTCGGCTCGTTTACACCCCTACCTAAAACTCCAAAATAAATTTAATCTTAATAAACGCCACAACACCTAAGGACTCCAAAAAGAAATAGCATCAAAAAACAACACCTAAATAAAAAACTTTTCCGGCTTCGTTATGTTACTGATCAGAATATCCATACAATATATTTACGATTTAGATAATTTTATCAATCTATGATCGGATCAAATAAAGTTGTAGCAGCTAAGCTAATGAAAATGACATTAAAAAATAACATGTGCGAATGTAAATGAATCATTAATAATTTACATATGTTCATCTTTTTAGAATTATGTTATGTGAAGACATGTTTAAAAGTAAATGACCATCATCTCAATGATCACCATGACACTATGTATCAGATATGCTAATTGATTCATTTGATTAAGCTAAATGATTGGACTAATTAAGTAATTGATGCATCATATTCTTCTAAGATATTGCATTCTATATAAAAGAAATACATCTATTTTTTTTTAACACTAATTAGATGAATTGAGGGGTAGCACGTGCTACCCCTACCAACTAATTAAATCCACCCCTGTATACGATAAATATTCAACGCTTAGCATAGACTAAGAATGCGACTTGTTGTTTAGGAAGTAACGAAAGAAATGATATTGTGTGTTGTTATCTTGTACAACTTTTTGTTGTTTCATTTTTGTTAGTTTAAATCAAATAAATAAGATGCACATTTTTAGTGAGATTCACAATAAGAAATTTAAGGTTAAGGAATGTGTTAGACACTAAAAAAAATTGTCCCAATGCGAACGTTTGTTAATTTCCAAAATACAAGGATGACAAATGGTTCTTTAAGACTGTCAAACTTAACTACGCTGGGGTATTACTTTGGTGAAATAAAATAAAAATCCTAATATCAATATGGAAAGAACATAGAAGATTTCAATATCTATTTGTGTTTGTTTTGTGTATAAAAAACAATATTATATAGTAAAATAATTTTGCTACATGTCAAATTTTCATTTATTTTGCTATATATAATTTTATGGTTATTTTAAATTAATTTTTATTTCACATGTTATTTCATGGTTTTTTCATTTTATTAAATTACACATGATATTTAAATGTAATAATAAATGCATATTAATTTCATTAATGAATTTTCCTTATAATTTAAATATAATTAAATTAAAGTTTTATTAATTTGCTTTTGTTTATTATCTAAATTATTTGTTTAAATTTGAAAGAGAAAAAAAAATTAATAATTCAATATTTTTCTCACTTTTCTTATAAATTCAAACTTTTCAAATATCTAAAACTATATATTTAATTTTTTTTAAATAAACTCATTTAATACATGGTCTCACACTTAGTTTGGAATTACACACAAAACAATAACAGGAAATTGATTTAGATAAACATAAGATAGATTAATGTAATGACATATGCATCCCATTTCACTACAAGAAATATATCCTTTAGCGGCGACACTATTAGCGGCGACTATTGGCTTTACCGGCGACTCTAGCTAGAGTCGCCGGTAAAGCCAATAGTCGCCGCTAAAGGGTTGTCACCCGAATCCGCACTTTCCCCCTACATTGCATCTCAACCGTTCGATGAGATATCCAATCCAACGGGTGGGGTGCCTTATCCGGTCTAACCTAATACCGGCGACACGCATGTCGCCGCTAAAACTCTAAAAAAGTCGCCGCTAATTGTCTGCTAAAAATGACGCGGTACCCTTCCCTCCAGTTTGTCGCCGCTATTAACAATTGTCGCCGGTATTGACCCTCGCGTCGCCGCTAAAGGTGTCGCCGCTATTGATGATCCCAGATAAAAAAAAAACGCACGCAGATTACAGTTCCTTCTTCATTTCCCTTTCTGTTTGCTTTGAGTTCCTTCACCATTTTTCCGATTTCTTCTTCAATCTGCTTCTTTCAAGCAAATTTCTCCCCTCATTGTTCCAAGCAAGTGTCCCTAGGTGTGGTTAAAGCTTTGGGATCAATTTCTACCTCCATTTCTTGAAGAAAGGTAAGTTTTATTTTGATGATTTCATTTTTGTGTTGTATGAATGATAATAAATTGCTCATGTTCTTTATTTTTGGTGGTGTTGTTTTGGATTAGAAGCATTGTTCCAAGCAAGTGGTTAAAGCTTTGGGATCAATTTGTAGGTGCCTCCATTTGTTGAAGAAAGGTAAGTTTTTTTTATGATTTCTTTTTTATTTTGTATGAATTTTGATTTGTAGCTTTATGTAGTGATTGAATGATAATAAATTGTTCATATTTTTGTTTTTGGTGGTATTGTTTTGGATTAGAAGCAAGTTATTCAATTTTTTGT